TACTGAGCTGAGCTTCTGACCAGAATGAAATAACACATATAGCCATACTAAACTCATACAATATCAGTGAAAAGCAAAGAAACTTGAGATTTTGGTAAACATTTGCTACCTTGTTGAGGACTTTTCTTCAATTTCTACTAGATTTTTCAAAATATTATGATAGGTCAAAGATTCCCTTAAATCTTTTTTGACCTCTAGGATCCCAGACTTCCCAGGTTGGGATAAGTATTTATGACCAAAAGATTCATTAAAGAGAAGAAAGTGATGCATACCTTACACCTTAATGTTAGCCTTCACAAAGGACATATACTGCTTCTAGCTAAATGTCTAGTTTTGGCATGGGCAGAGTGAAAATACTTGGTAAAGGTACCACCAAACAGCCATTTATTTATTCATTATTTAGACAAATAGAAGACATGGTTTCTCTCTTCAAATAGGTATTAGACAACCATAAAAAGCATTTTTGCTCTTTCTTACATGCAGCTTTCTCATGCTCTCCTCTGCCATTCCATCTCTCAGCTTCTTCATTCTCCTCTCTGTCCAATGACCCCCTGCTGAGGTCTGCCCTTGCTCTTTAATACTCCCCTGGAAAGATAACTCTAGGAGCCCTAAAACAGACCAAGCAAGATCATTTGCCAGAGGGGAGCTCAATTCCATAACATCCACAAGCCTCTGCACTATAGGGATTCACAAATCTGCAAAGCCCCCATGCTGGGACTGAGAGGGGGGAATAAGAAAGGGTGAAGGGGTGGAGGGAAGACAAAGGCTTACCTGAATTTTATATCCTGACTACCAAATTCAGATCAGTGTACCTCTGTGTTAAAAGCCTAGACACCAAGAGTTCTTAATTTAATCAGCCCATACAGGTTCAGAAAGAAATGAGAAATTCTAGCAAGGGCTGGGTGCTGCAATGTTTTCATCAAGGACCACTGCAGAACATATACTCAGGGAGGATGCCATCAGCTTTCCAGACCAACTTACCGACTACTGAGAGACCATTAATTAAGTCTGCCCTGCTCCAAAATAAATCTTTGATTTGCCACCACTCTAGCAGACTCAGATGTAATATTAGGCTGAAAAAAAATGAGAAACAGTATGAAAAAAAAAGAAAGGAAAGATTCTCCAACAATAAGGAATTAGAAAACCACTGCACCAGACTACAAGGTTCTGGAGGGGTAAGAACCACAGTCACCATGACAACCTGGGATATTTTTAATGAGAGAGTCGGTAGGTTATACAGAAACATTTTCTGGAATTTGGAAGTTGAGAGTGAAGTATAAGAACATGTGTGGGAGTTGAGAGACACTTCAAATTTGGATTTTCATCTTTATTTTTCAGCTTTTCCTTGCAATTCACATGTTGCCAAATCCTGTTTTTTTAGAGCAAAAGGGCAAAAATAATTTTTGTACTCCATAGTTATATATAAATGTTATGTACATCTATATATGATTATATAACTTCGCTAATTGGGAGGTTTTCATTAGCAAAGGATACAAGGTTTCTTGAAGAATAGGAGAAATTTATATGAATCCATAGTTCAAAATAGGTTATTATACATTAGCATACCCATCCTTGGCTAAAAAACCTGAAAATATCAGATGGATACCTTATGTATTGAATCTATACTATATCACTTTTCATTTGATTTTATAACATTTTTGTATTCTGTTTTTAATTTCTTCAGTACTGTTTTCCAGGGTCTGCATCAAGTTCTGTTCTATGTGTATTATCTACTCAGTATGTGCTAGTTTATTTAACCAAGTCTATGTGTTCAAGTTTGTTTTGCATAGTAAGTTGACACAAAATAGAACAAAACATTTCTGCCTCTCTGTGCCTTATAATAGATACTTCACTGCTATCAATTTATTTAATCCTCACAATATTTCATAAGTATTATTACCCCATTTTAGAGATGAAATAACTGTAATCAAAGAGGTAATATATTTGCCAATGCCACAGCTGGGAAGTGTCAGGGTCTATGTTAAAACACAGGTCTATTTGACTCTTAAGAGTCTTCCCATTTCCTGTGCTACACTGAATCTCTATGTCCTCGTGATTTTTGAGGCACAGACTTTGAGCTTATAAAAAATTGTTTCTGGACATTACATAATACAATATATCTGTACTTCCAGGTAAGATACCTTATAAGTTCTTGTACTAAGATGTCCTCTGCTCCAAACACATAGCAATGAGAGATAAAATATAAAATGAGAAATTAAGAAATAAAACAAAACAAGAAAATGCTATCAAGTTCAGAACCAATATAAACTTCTCTGAGGCCCAGAAACACCAAAGCTGGACCCCGCTGGGTTCCCCATCTAGGAATTTTGCTCCTGCTGGGTAACAGGAGCCAAAAGTCCTCCCAAGAAAGGGAAGAGATGGATTCAGGTTCACTGCTGAAACTAGGGGCTTCTTCACCCATGAAAAACAGGCTGACAAGAGCTGCAAGGCCTGCTTCCAGAGCCATGGCCTAGGGGGGCAGGAGAAAGGTGACACAGAGCCACATCCAAGACGTGGGTCAATGTGTCCACTACCTCAGAGACTGGATCTGAAATATCTCTTAGCACAGCTAGAGAGGCCTAAGCCACCAATATAAGACCTGACTCTAGTCTGACAGTCCCTTGGGGGAAAATGGGGGCAACTAAAACAGACAGGGTTAACAGAGAGAGAGAAAAGAAAAACAAATCTCCTAGTCAGGATGTCTGCACATCAAAATTCCAAAACACATGAGGGAATGTATACTCAGAAGAGTGATCAACAGAATCAAAAAAGAGGAGATAAATTCATTACTGACGAAATGGACATAGCAGAATGATCTGAAAATGAGTTTTTAAATAAGCATGTTTTGTATTCTCTGAGAGAGTTAGAAAAAAAAAGAACAAGGAATTATAAAAGCAAGTAGAAATAAAACAAAAAAGTTGATTAGAGGGGGCTGGCCCCGTGGCCGAGTGATTAAGTTCCCGCCTTCCGCTTCAGCGGCCCAGGCTTTCACTGGTTTGGATCCTGGGTGCAGACATGGCACCACTCATCAGGCCATGCTGAGGTGGCATCCCACATGCCACAACTAGAAGGACCCACAACTGAAATACACAACTATGTAGTGGGGGGATTTGGGGAGAAAAACCAGAAAAAAAAAGTTGATTAGAAAAGCACCTACTAGAAATCATAGAAATAACAAAATATAGTCAATGAAATAAACATTCAATAGACGAAATACACTCTAGACTGGTCTCACTTGAAGAAAAAAATTAGTAAACTAATAAAACTGAGGAATTCACCCAGATCTAGCATAGAGAGAGAGGGTGAGAAAAAGGAGAAGAAAGAAAAGGAGGAGGAGGAATTAAGGGTAGTCAAGAGACAAAAGAATTAAGACGCTTTAACAGTGGTCTAATAGGAATTCCAGAAAAACATAATAGAGGAAATGGTGGAAAAACAATATTCAAAGAGATAATGGGTCAGCATTTTCTGAACTGAACAAAGAAATTCATCTTTAGAGTGAAACTGCACACTGTGTGCCGATCAGAATAAAAAAAAAATTCCATATATACAATGTAGATCTTAAAAATGAGAAAAGACAGTTCGGGAGCAAAGGAATGGCATTTAGACTTACAGCAGCCTTTTAATCAGCAACAGCACAGGTTAACACACAATGAGTAACATCCCAAAAGCACTATGGAAAAGTAACTATGGCTCTCAAACTACACCAAACCCTAAACTATCACTGAAGAGAAGAACCAAAATAAAGATATTATCAGCGACACAAAAACTAAAAGATTTTATCACTCACAGATACTTCCTAAAAGGAGAAACAACAAAAAAACAAAGAAACTGCTATAAATATATTGGGGAATTTACCATTGAAAGACTAATTTTGAGGGAACAAAAAAAAAATCAAGAAATCTGGGCACCAATGATTAACGAAAAATTGAAGTCTGGTAAAGTTCCTGTCTTTTTGAAGAAGAGGATAGAGATGATAAAACTGTTATTAGAAATTTTGTTAGGAATAGAAATAAAATTAGTATTTGGAGCAATAGAAATTTTTATACACACCTAGTGGAAGTGCAATGACTTTGGAGAGCAATTTGGCAACATGCAGTAAAGATAAGGATGTATTGCCTCTCACTGGCAATTCCACCCCGGGAATATGTGAAAAAACGTCACAAATGTGGACAGGGAGACATACAACAATATTCATAACAGTATTAGCAACAATAGCAAAAAACCACAAACAACATAAATGTATATCAGCAGAATAAAGGACTAATAAATCATGGCTTGTATGTGGAATACTGTACGGTGTTGAAAAACGAATGAACCAGAATTAGAGGTATAAACATGGGTAAATTTTAAAACATAATGTTGAAATAAAAAGCAAGTTGCAGAAAGATACAGAGTATGCCATTTATATATAGCTTTAAAATATGTTATATGAAATATTATATATTGTTCAGAATACTTACATGTATAGAAAAATATAACAGCACACATGGGAATGAAAAGAACAAAAATTGGGATAGTAGTTACATCTGGGGAGTGAAGGAGTTGTGGGTGGGGTACCAAGAGGCTTCAATATATTTGTACTACTTTATTTCTTAAGCTGGGTGTTGGGATAAATGAATGAGTGAATGAATCTTAACTGCAAATGTCACTGGAGTCCACCTGGTTTAGAGATATAACTATACTAATATCTGGAAAGATTATTTACATTGTAACTTAACAAACTACAAATGTTATACTCCTGTTATGGTATTAACGTCTTTCTTCCCTCCAGCTTTACTGAGGTATGATGGACAAAAATCCTATATATTAAGGTGTACAACATGATGTTTTGATATATGTACACATTTTGAAATGATTATCAAAATCAAGCTAATTAACATATCCATCACCTTGATAGTGAACCTGAAGTGAGTTCACTCACCCGTTGCACAGCAAGCCAATCTCTGACACTGGGTGTAGTGGAGGAAAGTAGGAATTTTATTTTCATACAATGCTGAGCAAGGAGAGAGGGCAGCTAACCCTAAAATCCCAAACTCCCAGAAAAGCTAAAAGGAAGGGTTTTTATTTGGGGTTTTAGGTAGGGGAGGGAGAGCATATGGCCTTGCTGGTCGGAGCTTTCCCACTAGCCTGTCTTTGGCTTTCAGACTACTTGCAGAGAGGAGGGAGCCCGTGACCTTGCTGGTCAGCAGCTTTCCCACCAGCCTGTATCTCTTTGCTGGGAGGAGATAATGAATCCAGGTGCTTGTCCTTGGCGGTGTCTGTCTCCATGGAGGATAATGGATTCTGGAGCTAGGAAGCCAGAGAGTAAGCAGGGAATGAGTGTTTTGGTTTTAACCCCATATATGCTGGGTTTAATGTAGGGAAACTGATGAGAACACTTAAGATCTACTCTCTTAGCAAATTTCAAGCATACAATACATTATTATTAACTATAGTCACCATGCTGTACATTAGGTCTCAGAACTTACTCATCTTATAACTGAAAGTTGGTACTCTTTGACTGATATGTATTATTTTCTCATTCCTCCTGTCATCTGGACTAGTGAAGGCCTTCTCCAGATGTATTAAATTAAAATGTTTCTGTTTCAATCTGTTCTGGATTTTTCTTCTGTCGTAATCCTGGCTCTGCCTTGTTTGCTGATCCAATCTGGATGTCCCAGACCAGACAGCTGAAATGGTCACTCCCCTAGTGACTTACTCCTCAGGAGGAGAGACACTTTCTGACATCATACCACTGCAGCCCTCCATTCTCTTCTCTGCTCCATAATCAGCCCTGGCAGTTCCAGTGGAAGAGGGAGGCAATCTCACCCACTTTAACTTTTGGCAGGAAGAACAACTTCCATCGATCAAGAGTAAACACAGAAACACAAAAACTTACCAGTCCAGTTATTAAAGAGCTGTTCTCCTTCCCAGTGGGCACAGAATTCTTAAGAGTTCTCATATCACAGAAATGTGGCCTTTTTTTTCTTTTCTTCTAAACATGAGTCCCTCTGGGTGAGGTTTAACTCATACTTATTGCCGTATCGTCTACTCACACCCCAGCCCAGTTGATTCAAGTTCCTGAGCTCTTAAGCAGTCCCCTAAGTAGCAGATGAATCTCTGTATGCTTGTCCAAAATACTTGGTTTCCCTTTAGTAGAGACCTTGGACCCTGAGGTTTTCTTGGCCACTCTTCTTCCCTGCCTCAATCCCTGGTTACCTTTGCAATTATGGTGGGGTGGGATTTTGAACTATCAGTCAGTGTCTCAGCTCCCTACCCATTTCTTATTACCACTAAACTACCTCAAGAAAGAAATCACCTGTTCCCTAGAGATTGGCCTTAATTATGTGAACTTGGATTCTTAAAACATTTCTGATTTAGTTTCTATAAAAATAATATATTTTTCTTTTAAGTTAGTCACATTGAAAGTATTTCTATTTCTTTGTTTCCAGGTAATTTTAGAAATTAAATTTATATTATATATATTTATATTACATTATAAATATATAAATTTATATTATATATGAATATATATATTATATCAATTTTTATAAGTATTTATCTCTATTGGACAATTAGAAAAGAGTTCCTTTAATAAAATAAACTTTATAATTTAATTCATTACTACCTTCCAGATGTAGGACATCTCATACTCATATAATGAGAGGTAAAGCCCTTTATGAATAACAGACACATAGACACACAGGCATATGGTGAGTTTATGGCTTCGATTCTACAATTTCTGCAGGTCAAGAAGTAATCACAGAAACATAAAACATAAAAACTCACTAGTCTAGAAATCAAAGAATTGTTCTTCCCAGAGGACACAGAATTCTTGAGTTGAGCTCAAAATAGACAAACAGACAAACAAACAAGACTGACAAACCAGATTCTCTGTTGTCTCTCACTCAGCAGAAAACAGATCTCTATAAACCATGAATCCTTTTACAGAAAGCAATGGTCAGACCTATACAACCAAATTCCTGATCATTGCTGCCGCAGAAGGAAATCATTTATTGGCCATATACAAACCAAAACAAAACACAAAATTGGTGGAAAAGAAAATTTAAATGAGGAAAAACAGAGACTTAAAAAATTCTATTGTGCTTCAGGTTCACCTCTGGGAACAAGAAAAATGTACCTGGATTTAGCAATCCATGAGGGGTACTTCTCTGGCAATAAAGTTCATCTGGCTGTTAGTTGAATACATTAGGCATCTTGGTGGGAACAGCAGAACCATTAAAGGATAATTCTCAAAAAAAAAAAAAGGAAAAGTAAAGTCACACAAAATAATTTTCTTTGACTAATTAAATAAGAGAATGAGAGAGATGTTACAATCTGTTCAAGGAAAATCCAAAAACCAGACACCTCACTGATCAAATGGATGCAAAACAGGCTTTTTCTACAGAGAAGGAGAGTTCTCCCTCCATCAGAGAGAATTCATTCAGATGTCTGTAGACAAGAATATTTGCATTATCATCAAGTCTCTACAAATTAATTTTAATCTCTATGGAATTCTAAAACTGTCTAATCCAAGATAAAGGTATCTTTTTTTATTATTTTTTTTTTTTGAAGATTAGCTCTGAGCTAACATCTGGCACCAATCCTCCTCTTTTTCCTAAGGAAGACTGGCCCTGAGCTAACATCCGTGCCCATCTTCCTCTGCTTTATATGTGGGAGGCCTCTTACAGCATGGTTTGCCAAGCAGTGCCATGTCCGCACCCGGATGCCAACCGGGAACCTGGGATGCCAAAGCAGAACGTGCATACTTGACCACTACGCCACCAGCCAGCCTGGTGAGTATCTTTTAGGATCAAATAATCCCCCCGAACTCCAGCATTCCATTGAATTCCATTAATCTCTTTTGCTTATATCAGAGTGCTACATTTCTCCCTACATATCACAAACCGGAGGTTATAGAATGTACTAGAGGGGAAAGCTTCCATTCATTCACAGATCTTCTGTAATTCTGGCCCTGTGTTAACCGTCCACTCAAAAATGTTTTATCTACCATCTACTGTGTACTTAGCAGTTGGTCTGGTGAATTTTGAAAATAATGGGTCATGGTCCTTGCTCACAAAGTACTTACAATCTCATTATGGAGATAAGACATACTGATAAGAAACTACTCGTCAATAAATTTAATAAACTGCAAAATTGAGAGTACAATTAGAAAATACGGCAGTTTAAAACGGAAGTACACTCGATCCTCATTATTGGTGCATTCCGTATTTGCGAATTTGCCTACTCACTAAAATTTCTCTGGTACTCCAAAACCAATACTTGCAGTGTTTCGCAGTCATTCACGGACACGTGCAGAGGGGTGAAAAACGTAGTTGACTAAGGTGTGTGTTCTCTGCCCTCGTGTTTCAGCTCTCACACTGAAAACGCGTCCTCTTCACTGTCTCTCCAGTACCTATTTTCACATTTTGGTGATTTTGTTGTTTAAAACGGCCTCCAAGCTTAATCCGAAGTGTTGTCTGGTGTTCCTAAACGCAAGAAGTCTGTGACGTGCCTTATGGAGAAAATACATGCGTTAGATAAGCAGCTTCACTCAGGCATGAGTTACATGCTACTGGGCATGAATTCAATGTTAATAAATCAAAAATATATATTAAATAAAGGGGCTTTAAACAGAAACACATATAAAACAAGGTTATGTATTGATTAGGTGACTAAAATGTTGTGACCAGAGGCTCACCAGAACCTAAAACGCTGTATTCCCCCTAGGAGCAGTGGTTCCATATTCCCTCGCAGTAACTTTATAGAACATAGACTACCTCAAATAACGAGAATCAACTATGCATATTTAAACCGACAGAAAGTGTTTTTCAAATGCGTCTGATTTCCTTATTAGCACAAAAGAAAAAAGAAAACCCTTTCCAAAAAATTACTCCACTGCTCTCCGAAAGAGCCTAGAAAAGCTGCAATCCTGCCTTCCATTTTCCTTTTCCACTTTATTCCTCCTCAGCTCTCCCTCTTTCTGTCTCTCGGAGGGGTCCCCATTTAAATAATGTTTTTCAAGAATCTAAAGTCCTAGACCAAGTTTGATAAAGGTGGACACTCAAGATACACACGTACATTTAAAAGTGAGTTCTGTGGATGTGTTCTCGCAAAATTAATTGCAAAACTCCGTGGTACCACAGTTCTGTGGGAACCCAGAGAAGGGTATTTCCCCACTTTGGCCATCCACCTTTCAAATCCCAAGGTCATTATAAAAACACGCTAAAATTTTTTTTTCTTCTTAGCTCTCAAACAGTAACTGCGCGGTACGCGCCCACCCGTAGGCCTTAACGAAGCTTTTGAGCCTTTTTAGTTTGCGTCTTTCTCCCTGTTTCTTTAAGACAGAGCTCGGGCGTCCTGCCCTAGGCCGCAATGGCTGCCCGGGCTTCACACCCTCTGCGCATGCTTCTTGAAGGCAATTCGGGGTTAAGGCAATTGGCGACTTTCGCGGCGCAAGATGGGGACTTGGCGGCGGGCGAGGTTGAACCTCCCAGCATGCCTTGCGGCCGGGCCCGGAGTCCGGACGCCTAGGGATGGGGAGCCTCCGCCACTCTCAGCCGCCAAATCGGCTGTAGAGGTGGAGGCCGAGCGCGCGGCCTGAGAGCTGCCGCCCGCAGAGGGGAAGATGGAAGCGTGGCGCTGTGTGAGGAGGGGCTACGGCCGCTGTGTGGTGGGGAGAGGCCGGTCAGTAGTGCTGGGTGGCGGGAGGGAGGAGGAAGGGGCGGGCGCGGGCGGCCCGGGGTAACCCGGGGCGGGGCGGACGGAGGAGGAAGAGGGTCGGGGCGGTGGTGCGGCCGGACGAGCCTCCGGAGACCCCGAGGGATAGGTAAACCCGGCGCGTGGCCGGCGGCACGCTGGGCCTGCGGGCTGCGGGGCCCGGCGCGGAGCGCATCGGCCGCCGGCCGGCCTCGTGCCTTCCGGACCGGGCTTGGCCGTGGAGCCCGGCCCACTTCCCCCAATCCAGCCTCCTGGCCCGCCCGAGCCTCCCGGTCCCGGCTCCTCCCCGGGGGCTCGCCATCCGCTGGGAGGCCGCCCGTCCGCAGTCGGTCCCGGGGCGGCCTGACCCGGAGCGGAGCGCGCGCCGTGCACACGCGCCCGGGGGGTTTGTTGTTTGTTGCTGTGTTAGTGTCTCTCAAACTTTAGTCACTTGTATACCAACCTTTACGATTATTATCAAATTCTTGTTCTACCTCTGCATTATTTACTGGGTATTTTGAAATTGGCTGACTTTTTAAAAAAGCACTTCGTAGATGCTGCTTACATTAGCGTCGCCCTAAGCAGTATCCGCGAGATCTTGGGTTTGATGTACTGATTATGTTTCTGTTTGCCTAATACATTTTAAGATAAATACTTTGCTATTAAAAATCAATACGTTTAGTTGTGTACCATATGAAACTGGTGTACCACACATGGGAAGCACAGCGCTGTACTAATGATTACATAAGTTATGGGGATCTGGTTTTAACTCCTGTAGTCCTGGGACTTGATGCCAGTTCAGTTCAACAATGTTTTCCTGAGTACCAGCTGTGTGCCAGGCACTGTGCTAGGCACTTGGGAAGAGACTGCGATTACACTGAATAAGAAAGCTCTGGCCTTGAAGGAGCTCATCATCTTAAGAGAAAAATCTATATAAGTAACTACAAATATAGAGAATAAGTTTTGTAGTACAAGTTTTATATTTCAGTAGGGTAGCTTATTAGGATAGAAAATGAATGAGCAAGTGCCCAAATCTCTATGGCTTTCAGAGTTGTCATCAAGCAGGATAGGCTGCCCATGTCATGCCTACAATTAAGTTGAATTTAGAGAACAGTTTGAGAATGCATAAGCTGAAAAAAAAAGTAAAATATTTTAATGCTGTTAAAATGAAAAGAACATATAAAAGTCAAATAAGAGTAGGCACAATTTAACCAAAATTCCTTTAGAGATAGAAGTGGACATTTTTGACACTATCTTGGAATGTACCCTTAATGAATTCTGGAAAAAAGGATAGAAGTCCTCCTCTGAATCCTCACGTTTTGCCAGAATAGTATAGTAGGAAGAAGGTGGTCCTTGAGTTGCATTGTTGCTTGAGAGAGCCTGAGAGCAGCATATCTATTCAAATAGTGTTAACACTACTTTGGAGATATTTTAGATGATAGGTTAAATTGGTGCTTTTGGGTTTGGAGTGTTGGTGAATTGCTAGTAAGTAATCTCTGTCCTCTTTCGTTTCCCTCAAGGAGAAGCATGGTTTTAAAAAAAATAAGAATGGAAAAATAAATTAGCCACCCACTGACTAGCAAGAAAGGTAGTTGTGAAGTTGTGTTAGGTTTTTGTTTTTTGAGCTGTACAGATGTTTGGAAAATATAACCTCTGTATAAAAATACTGTGCAGAAACCTGTTTTTATTCCAAACCCAAGTTAGAGGATTCACTTGAATTATAGTCAATTTATGTGTTCCATATTTGATTTAAGTATTAGGTTTGCTGTGGATTTTATTTGCCTAGTGAGTTTTATTAGATGCTAGAAAGCTACTCTGTATATCAGTTTGATGGTTGATCCACCTCTTGGTTGACTGTGGACTTTTTGACGTATATATGGTGTTTTGGGAGTGTGGTGGATTCTATGTTAAGTGTTTAGGTACCATTCATGGTTGTTTAGGGATATTGAGAGATTGCTGCTAGTAGTTAAATACTGGCTGCTCCTCCATCCCCATCTTTCACAGATTTAGAGGTAAGATTTTGAATATTAGACATTATCTTCCCTTGAGGAAACAGATTTAGGTTTTACGTACTGTAGTGGAACAAAAAGTGGTACCTCAAGGAGTGTATTTATTTCTTTTAGATACCCCATGTTACCCCATCACCAGAAGAGTCTGGGCAGAGACTGGACTACACCGTGGGAGAATCTGCAAAGGTGTTGCTGGAACAGACATATTTCTAGTTGTATGAGGTGGCCTGGACATTACTCTCGTGCTCCTTACCCGTACTTCAGTAGTAGGCATTTTTCACTAAATTGGAGACCGCCTTGTCTGTTTGAGTCTAGAAGTCAGTTTCAGTACTGGAACTGGAGACCTGAGAACCTGAGCCAGACATCTTTGATTCATCTCTCTAGTTACATCATGAACTCTGAGGGAGATGAGCCTTCATCAAAACGAAGAAAACACCAAGGTAAAGGTAACATTTATCTTGGTGCAGAAATAGACATAAGCCATAGACTAGATTGAAACTTTCATTTCTAATCCTTTAGAAAATCTCCTGCAGGGGCCGGCCCGGTGGCGCAGCGGTTCAGTTCCCACGTTCCGCTTCTTGGCGGCCCGGGGTTCGCTAGGTTCGGAATCCGGGTGCGGACATGGCACCGCTTGGCAAGCTATGCTGTGGTAGGCGTCCCACGTATAAAGTAGAGGAAGATGGGCACGGATGTTAGCTCAGGGCCAGGCTTCCTCAGCAAAAAGAGGAGGATTGGCAGAAGTTAGCTCAGGGCTAATCTTCCTCAAAAAAAAATAAGATAAAAATTTAAAAAAAGAAAAGAAAATCTCCTGCAGGTTTTAGAAGTGTTTGGTGTTTATTTTTAGGTAAAGTTTTCTGGCTAAAGTTTTCCAGCGCTTTTGGTCTGGTGCTTAAGATCCAGCTCCCTTGCCACCATGGCCTGGGTTCTTTTCCCAGTCAGAGAACCACACCACCCATCTGTCAGTTGTCATACTGTGGCAGCTGCGTGCTGCTGTGATGTTGAAAGCTATGCCACCGGTATTTCACATACCAGCAGGGTCACCCGTGGTGGACAGGTTTCAGCAGAGCTTCCAGACTAAGACAGACTAGGAAGAAGGACCTGGCCACCACCTGCTTCCAAAAAATTGGCTGTGAAAACCCTATGCATAGCAATAGAGCAGTCATTGTTTGATACGATACCAGAAAGTGAGAAGATGGCGCAGAAAGACCTCCTGCTGGACACAGGGTTGCCAGGAGTCGGAATCTATTCAGACGGCACCAACAACAAGTTTTCTGTTAGGGAAAAATAAATTCTCTTTTTGTGAAGTCTTCATTTTTTCTTCAGTTAATTGTGTATTTCTGACAGTGAAAATTGAAGTGACTCTACATGTACAATAAGGTTGGAAAAGAATGGAGGAGTAGATTAAAACAGTAGGTTTAATTTAAGAATAGTTTTCAAATTCAGGGTTTTGGGAACAAAGGTCCTTAGACTTCTTAGAAATTGGTGGATGTATTCTTTGGAGTCCACAGATCTATTTAAAAAATTAAGTTGCTTGTTCTCATTTTTTCCCCAAAGATTGGCACCTGAGCTAACAGCTGTTGCCAATCTTTTTTTTTTCTTCTCCCAAAATTCCCCTCGTATATGGTTGTATATTCTAGTTGTGAGGGCCTCTGGCTGTGCTATGTGGGACGCCGCCTCAGCGTGGCCTGCTCAGTGTGGCCTGATGAGCGGTGCCATGTGCTCACCCAGGATCCAAACCAGCAAAACCCTGGGCCACCAAAGCAGAGTGCACGAACTCAACCACTTGGCCACCGGCCTGGCCCCTCTTGTTTTTGTTTTTAATGCTAACCTTTTTGTGTAAGGTGAAAGGGCTTTTAAATAGAAACAATCATAAATATAAGATTTTTTTATAGACTGAGATTTAGCTTATTAAATCTGTATTTCTCATATGGGGTCTATAGATGTAATTTTGAGAGTGTGGGAAGTTTTTTCTCTTAAAAAGGGTACACATCTTATTCAACTATGAGAAATGGTTTTTTCTAAATATGTTGATTCTTTCCATTTTTCTCATAGTCTTTTTACTCTAAACGTTTTACTAGACTCCCTGTGTGCTACCAGCCCTGTCCCCCACATCCAAAGTATACGTGAATAATCTAAGTAGAATTTGGAATTGTCTTTCTTACTGAGCTATAGTTTTCAGTGAAGATAATTTCTCAGAAGATATTTGAAAATTGGCTGTGCGGGTGTTATTGTGTAGGGAGCTGACACAAGGAAGACGTTCAGAGTGAGTCTCACCTGGAAGTCAGAGCTAGAAGATTAGCCAGCGTTAGTGTGCTTTTAGGTAAAAATTCTATACACATTTAAGTAGAAATTCTAAGCACTCAAAAATGGAGATCCATGGTACTTAACCACAGCAGGTGTTTATAAACAAATACTTGTTTGAATGAGTGAAAGGTATATTCAGAGGCATTAAAATTAGGGTCCTAAGAACAATCCATAATCTACAAATCTAGGCCTCTATGATGACATGAGATTGCGTTTCCTTCATGTACTCACAGTGTTTACCAGGTTAGCACACTCCTCTGTCTTTTAGCCTTTTGTAAATCTGATGTGCTGTCAGGAGGAGCTGTGGCATATTGTCATAAGCATGGGCTTAGGAATGCTCCCTGCTCTCATTCTGCTTCACTGCTAATTGTGTGAACTTGGACAGGTTACTGAACCTCTCTGCTCCTTGGTTTCCTGGTGTAAAATAATGTCTACTTTGAAAGCCTGTTGAGGATGAATGAGACGTATCAAAGTGCCTAACACACTGTTGGCTTCATAGTAGGTACTCAGAAAATTGTGGTGGTGGTGTTTTCCCTTTAATGGATGGGGAATTACATTTACATACTTATAAACTTTGACTGCAACCTGACTCTTTATATGTCCATTCTTCCTAGGTATTGTGAATAAGGAAAATGCTCTTCGTTAAGCCATATTTGTGACTTCCGATATTTCACTAATACTTTTCAATCAAGAGAACAGCATTGCTAACTTGCCTATCACTTTAAAGTGGTGTTTGAAGGATTTGTGTGACACAATTATGACTTTCTAATTAGGCACCCTAAAAACCCGATCAGGCCTATTGCTTACTTTCTTTGATTCATCTGTCTTCTCTGCTGTGATCACCTTGTTCCTCCTGACATGGAAGGTATATAAGCTTTTGTAGTGTGAATTTATATTGTGAAGTATATGAAGGCCAAAGATGCTCCACTCCATCAGTAGATTTCAAATTGTCTTCCATGGAACCCTGGCATTGGAACACATTTTTGTATGTTTATTAAAAGCAAACGTGGTCAGGATAAATGTGTTTGCCCCATCGTCCCAGCCCCAGTCCTAACGTGCCAGAGATTGATGCTCATGACGTGAAAAGTCATGCCAAAGGGTTGTACAAGCTCTAGAAGTTTGGAAGCCACTGTATTAATTAGATAATCTGATGGTCTTGGTTATTTAAAAAAATGGAATTGCAAAGAGTTGGCTTACAAACTCTTAGTTGCTAGAATCACAAAAATCTGAATGCATTTATATGCCTTTACATATACGTATTTTACAAGGGAATAAGAACGAGTTTTCTAGACCTTCATCTTCCATATTTTAATGTGGCGGTGACACCAGGTTAGTGCTGTAACTTTGTGGTGATAGCTCACATTTTGTTTGCATGACTAGAGCCCTTTTCATCTCGTATACATATGAAGACTTTATGATGTGTGGCTACAACCATCATAGGCAGTCCCCAATTTATGAATGAACTGTGTTCTAGATAATCAGTTCTTGAGAATCGCTGTTCATCGTTGGTTCTGTTTTCCCCGTAGAAACTATGTTATAAATCTCAAAGTCGCTCTTCGGAGCTAGTAGTTACCCTTAGTGCTGAGCCTTTGAGGGTGGGATTCTCCATATTCAGTGAAGGATAGTGAAGGGGATAGTTTCCTTTCCTTTGCCTGGCATAGGACAAGATCTGGGGTAAGTTGTGTAATAGTTGAAGGCCTTTGTTTAGTTTGGTGTTCTTTCCTTCCACTTTTTTTTCTTTACCCTTCTCCTCGGGCTCCTAGTACCTTCAACTCCCGTGTTCCACTCAGACCTCACTATTGGTAAAAATTATCTTCCTCTTCTACCTTTGGTCACAATTTCTCTTCCCTCAGTGCAGCAGATACGGGCATTTAAATTTTGAGGAAAGCAGTCTGATTAACTCATTTACCAGACCGTATTTTTAAATTTTTACTTCATTGGCATTTTTATAGAGTGTTGGTATTCTGCTTGTAAATATATTGTCATTGTAGAAGATTTGGAAAAATCTTCCACAATCCCACCACTCAGAGATAACTACTCTTTAAAATTCTGGTGTATTTCCTTTTAGTCTTTTTTCCCCCTGTGTAGAAAATATTTTTCCTCAATTTAATTTTTAGTTGGCAAAATTTTAGGCATTGTAATCCAGTGAAGTGAAAACCTTCATGCGTGAAAAGGCAGAGATTCTTGGGCTGAGGTTCTTCAAACTTGAAAGTCCATCTCCAAGTCTGTTTTCCCAAGTTCTTCCCATTTCTTGTTTTCTCCTTCGTTTGAGCTCATAGATCCTCTGAAAGTTCCGCATTTTTCTTCACGGCTTCCATGGCAGTAAGAGTATCCTCTTTAATGGTGGGGTGAGGGAGACAAAGTCAAAGGTGAATCTATACGGTGGTCATTTCTAAGTCGAGGACTGCCTATAATTGCAAAATCTCATGCTTTTCGATTCTCTTTTCATCACTTTTTCAGGGTACATGGTGTCTTTGCAGAATATAAACTATCACACATTCCTGGTTGCTGCATGCTGGGTTTGTCAACCAGCCATTATCATTTACTAGCATTCTGTAACTGTGTCACATTTAACTTTGCTTTGGTCTGCATTAAAAAGCTTTCTTTTGTTCATTTTGTCGGCATTGTTCCACTTTAGTGTTCTAGGCAGTAAGCACTGCTTCATATATTGCCAGTATACACCCTTCATTCATGTCTACACCAGTATTCTGAGATGAGTTGTTTCTGGAACTTAATCACTTGATGTTCTTATCTTACTAATAAGGACTAAAATATGATGTGAAATCATCTTATTGAAAAGCCAACTATGACATACAAATAGATTATCATGGTTATAAGGTTGCTAAGCATGTGTATGGCAGAGTTACTTCTTAACCATAAAGAAGTGAGAAACCACGACCCCTGCCTTGTCTTAGCTTTATTAACACACTCTCCCAGCCTCCAGAATCTGTTGCTAGATCCTTTCACACCTGTATTGTACCTTTTGGTCAGTCAGTATATCATTTTACTTTGTAACCAATTTGATGACAACTTCAGTTACTCAGTGCTGCATTGCCATTTCCTAGGGAAAAACATTTTGTTCATTGCCTATGGGAATTTTTAAAAGGCAAAAAAATGCTGATATACAGGAAAATACATGGTCTGTTTTTTATTAATTCTTTATATTTTGTCTAAAACATTTAATAGGCACGATAAAACGGCATTGGGAATATATATGTAACCATAATAAAGAAAAAATGAAGATCTTGGGAGACAAAAATGTTGACTCCAAATGTGAAGACAGTGAGAACAAGTTTGACTTTTCAGTGATGTCCTATAATATACTTTCACAAGATTTATTGGAAGACAATTCACACCTCTATAGACACTGCCGGCGGCCGGTATTACACTGGAGTTTTAGGTTTCCCAATATTCTGAAAGAAATTAAACACTTTGATGCAGATGTAAGTGCAAAATATCATCAAAATTCTCACAAGAAAAAGTTGGGTTAAGTGATTCATTTGTAAACTAAATGGTTTTATCTCTTTTGTTTGTGGGGTGAGAAGGGAAGACGTTTAAATATAGTGATGGAACAGTTTTTAACAAGGTATCATGACTTCCACAGTGTTATTTGCTGATGGTTGTCGGTGTAAATAATCATTAACTTTTCAAAAAAGATCCAAAAAGTTTTAAGTATTGGTCACTTTTGAGACAGGGACTGGCAGCATATTAAGTATTTAATAGATATTTCCTTTGATTTGAAATTTAAGTAACTCATGCAAAAATTAATCTAGATGATGGCATTCAAAGAAATCAGCTCTTAGGAAAAGACTAGAAAGATTTAGTACTAATGAACATGTAAATTCAGGAAAATATCCTGATGTGGAAATTAAAATTATTCCTTTGGGAATTACCAGTTTTAGATACTAAGAGAGCTTCAAGAAAGCCCAGGGTTTTGAAGACTGCTCAGATTTGGAAATACTAATTTGATAGATTTATAAATTACAAAAGAAAAGATCATGTCTTTTATTTCAGTTTTCATCAGGTTTTTAGAATTTTAAAAGCCTGCTTTTAAAGATGAAAGCACAAGAAAATTCATATTTGTATCTTTGTTTTAATTCAAGCCATTTTTTTCTTCCAAGGTACTTTGTTTGCAAGAAGTTCAAGAAGATCATTATGGAACAGAGATCAGGCCAAGTTTGGAATCATTGGGTACAGTGTAACTTTTATTTTAGCCAAATTTACTTTGGAAGGTTTGTGTGTTGTTGAAGTATAACTTGATAACAGATTTATTTAGACCAAAAATCTTAATTTTGAAAAAATGTAATACCCATCTCAAAAGTTCAGGAAAAGATTGAGATATTTCAAGTGGAAACTTGTGTTGTTATATAATTTTAATTCAAATGGAAAGGTGTGTAAGAATATCTTCGTACCTTCCTTTCCAGGAGTTACTCTGCCCACCACCAGACCCCTAAGATTCTGAGCTCTGTGAGATCAGGGACCATTCTGTCTAGTTTATTGTTATAACACAAGTGTCTACCACTGCCTAATGGATAGAGGCTAAAAACCTTTCTGATGAATGGACACTTCTAGAAACAGGTCATCGTTTGAGAAATGCTGCCTACTTTACATTCATTCATTCAGCAGATATTTTTTGAGTGCTTACTATACGCCATGCACTTTCTAGACAATGGGAGTACAGCAGTGAACAAAACAGCTAAAATTCTCTGCCCTTGGGGAGCGTCCGTTCTAGTGGAGAAAGGCTGACAATAAACCAAATAAGTAAGTAAATAACAGGAAAGTAGAATGAGTCAGGTTTCAATTTTAAGCAAAATAATCAGAGAAGGTGACATTTGAGCAAAGACTTGAAGGAGGTGAAGGAACAAGCCGTGCCTAGAACATTCCAGGCAGTGGAGATGGTGAAGGCAGGCCCTGAGCTTGGAGTGCCTTAGGCAGGAGAGAAGGCCAGTGTGTGTGGAGTAGGGCAAAGAGGGGAGATCTAGAGGCAAAAGGGTCAGAGAAATGGGGTGGGGGAGAGTGGGGGCAGATTATTATAAGGCCTTACTGTCTTTGTCATGACTGACTTTTACTAGGATGGAAGGAGAGTATGAAAATACACATTAGCATATTTAAGACTGAAGTCTGCCAGTAAAGAGACCTGTTAGACCCAGTCCCCAACTTTTTTGATTCCAACACTTATTAGCATCCTGTTTGACTAATGTTTTGCAGAATACACTTTGGTAAACATTGTTCAAAATTATTAGGAGAGCTGTGTTTTGCCATATATAAAAAAAATCCCTTGTTTTAAATTTCTATCTTTCTTATAGGTTATCACTGTGAATACAAGATGCGGACTGGAAGGAAACCCGATGGCTGTGCCATTTGCTTCAAACATTCCAAATTTTCACTGTTATCAGTGAACCCAGTGGAGTTCTTCCGCCCTGATGTTCCGCTGTTGGACAGAGACAATGTTGGATTAGTATTGCTCTTGCAGCCCAGAATTCCAAGCACTGCCTCTCCTGCACTCTGCGTAGCAAACACACATCTATTGTATAATCCAAGGCGAGGTGATATTAAGCTGACCCAGTTGGCAATGCTTCTGGCAGAGATTTCCAGTGTTGCCCATCAGAAAGATGGCAGTTTCTGCCCTATTGTTATGTGTGGTGACTTTAATTCTGTTCCTGGTTCTCCACTCTATAGTTTTATAAAGGAAGGAAAATTGAATTATGAAGGACTTGCCATAGGAAAGGTGGGTGCTCGCTTCATCACTATTAGGAGGCAGTCTTAGCTCACTTCATTGTAACGTGAGGATAGGCATCACAGGGCTGTTTGAAAACCATGGGTGATCCGGTACTCTCACTCTACCAAGCTATGATGAGTTTCCACAACTACTAACGAGTAATTATATTCACTTGATTGAATTTCATCTTTTCCATCTATTTGTGGCAACATTCTGCTTGGAAGAATTGGCAGGCAGCAAAAAATCCAAAATGGAGAAGAAAAAAAATGCATTGACAGACATGAATACTTCATAAATAAGGAGCTGCTCTCAAGGTGGCAGAATAGAATTTTGAATTCTGGATGTATAGGCCATGCAGTTGGCAAAACAGTAATTCAGTATTTCTTTAGTATATATGTTTTCTTTTACTAATGATAAATATTTTAATTCTCTAGCTGAGTATAATTTATCCTATGTTTTTATTTTCATCTTCAGTATTTTTAGCCAAAATAAGATCTCCACCACTGAGTTTTGAGTGATGGTTTAAAATTTTATAAGAGTTCATCTTTCATAGTATTTTGTATAATAGAAACTATATTGCAGGTAGCAAAAGGGAGGGCCAGCATTAGTCCAAAGCTACAGATCGTTTAGATATCCAAATTAGAGAAAAACGTGGAGGAAAAGACTGCCATTTTCATGTAAATAATAAGTGCTTCCTGAAGTGTATTTGAACAAGATTTTATAAGCACAAATAATCACTTAATATAATGAATAAAGGGTAATATTTACCATTCTTGGATTCCCTTTTATTTAAGACATAAACTTTTCAATACATAAACTATTTAGAATCTATTCACTTAAGATACCTGTTGAAATTTTGTTTAGGTATCTGGCCAGGAACAGTCTTCACGGGGACAAAGAATTTTATCTATTCCAATTTGGCCCCCAAACCTAGGTATCTCACAGAACTGTGTGTATGAGGTACAGCAGGTACCAAAAGTAGAAAAGACAGGTAAGTGTTTGCAATACATTTTAGCAGACTTCTTGATAACAGTGTTCCCTTTGAAGACATACTACTAAATTTTTAGGGGAATAACACCTCAGGGATGAATATTCATATGTAAAGAAATAGGTTGTTTGCTTATTCCTTTTTTAAAGAGCTCTAAATTTAGTTTTTTAAGTTGAACTTCTAAAATTATCCTTGCATGAATTACTTGCATGTTGCTTTGAAAATGTGTCTTATTTGTGCTAATTCTGGAGACCATCAAAACATAGATTCCAGGATGAAACATTTAGCAATGCGTCTATATAGATATGTATTAAATATTGTTCCCAGAGTAAGAGGACTATACTAAGGCAAACTAGAACAAAACAATATATTGATAGTATTAATACATTTCTCTCTCTTCCTACAGACGGTGATCCAACACAGACACAGCTGGACAAAACAGAGGTCCTAGTGACACCTGAAAAGTGAGTTCTGGAAAGCAGCAGTAGACTTCTGCTGACTTTAGTTGAGTAAAAAAATCATTTCTCAAAAATGACTTGGATAAAAAATGAAGATAATGATATTGCATTCTAGTGAAAAATACTGGCTCTTAAGTCAAATAGACCCGAGTTCCAATCCTGACTTTGCTACTTTTTAGCTGTATGATTTTGAGCAAGAAACTTAACATCTCTGAGGTTCACTTTCCTGATCTGTAATTTGGGTTGTTATGAGGATTAAATGAGATGAAGCTTGTAAAGCTCGATGTTTGATACATAGCTTAAGCAGTGTTATTTAAAAAGAACAACCTGTCCGTGGATGTGGACCAGCTAGCACTCTTTGAAATGTATTGCTATTACATATTTAAACAAAGGTCAAGATCACACAAAAATATCTTTTAGATTTCAGAAGAATCCTTAGCCTCCTCTGACTTACTAGATCTCAAAACAATCAATAGGAGAATTGATCCAAAAAAGATACGCTGGCAGAAAAGATGATTATTTATGCTTATCTCCTGAACTACAGGAAAAGGTCATCAGAGCTACGGGGCAAAGATGCCTGGATTCTGTATTATTAAAGAAGCATGAATGTTTGGGGCTATGGTTGACAAACAGAAGTATGTTCATAACAACAAGATGGAGACTGAAACCGCTTTAGGATATTCTTGAAATGCCCTGATTGTTTCATATTGTGGCTCTTTTATAGTTTTTATTTTTGCTTTAACATTTAAATTTAGGGACAAAATTAGAATCATCTCTCAGTCATTTCATCTGCTTTCTTCTCAGTCTTATTTTATTTTGCATACCTTGTTTTGAGAAAATGTTATCTCAATATAAGAACCTAGTAAGAAAGGAAGCAATTGTTTTGAACTTTTAAAAAAGAATACTTAGGAATTTATAATTAAACCTTTCAAATATACTAAAAACTTCCCTGAGTAAGATTAATAAAAAGGCTAATATGACTAACAAATACTTAGTTTTGAGTAATTCTAAAATCTTTTTATAACAATGTGGGGTATAAGAAAAGATATTTTTAAGTATCTATGTATAAATACAGTGTGTTTACATGCATAGCTGATATCTGTAAACTGGAAAGTTGATAGTGAGATAACAGTTTGCAGAAATCCTGCTTTACATTTAATAATGTAAATAAAACTCCTTAGACATAAAAAGTTGCTAAAACTTGGAAGTAAGGGCATTTTGAAGGAATTACCTTTGTTCATCGACATGTGAGCTCTTTAAAAGCAGGGCAACATCTCTGTCTCTGTATCCTTAGCTTCTAAGGTAGTGCCTGGAAGTTAGTAGATGTCTGGTAAATGTTTATTGCATGAATTAAAAAATTTTTTTCAATTTTGTTTTCTTTCATGACATAAAGGATACTAAACTTCATGATATGTTAATAGGAAATGAATTTTAAACCCTTTACCCATAACGTCATGTATGTATTTGTAGCGTGGGGTAAATGTACACCATTATAAAAGCTGGTTGTTTGTGTGGTTTTTTTTTTAAAGATTTTATTTCTCCTTTTTTTCCCAAAGCCCCCTGGTACATAGTTGTGTATTTTTAGTTGTGGGTCCTTCTAGTTGTGGCATGTGGGACACCGCCTCAGCGTGACTTGATGAGCGGTGCCATGTCTGCACCCAGAATTCGAACTGGGGAAACCCTGGGCCGCCAAAGCAGAGCGCATGAACTTAACCACTTGGCCACGGGGCTGACCACTATAGAAGCTGTTTTAAGATGCATGCAGAATTATCTCATATCTCACGGCAAGAATGATCATAGAAAAATATGGCCCCTCTGACATGAAAAGTCTAGTGGGTTACAGATAGCATTCCTGAAGGCTACTTTGATTTTCTTTCTTAAAAACACAATAAAAAACTTACAGTTTTAGAATATGTTTGTTAGTAAGTGGAAGTCCTCAAATATGCTACGATTAATAAAAAATAATATTAGTTTGTTAATTATTGAGCTTTTTCCCCCCAAGTATCACAGCCCTGTTAATGGGTTTTATATATTGCCACATGTTAAATTCATACATCGCCAAAGCTAAATTGTGACATGATCTTTTTAAATAAAGCTTGTCATAATGTCTGACTTTGTCTGGAAATTAAATGAAAAAGTGCTTTAAATAGGAGGAATTATAAAAATCATGAAGAATTTGATGGATGCTAAATACTTTTTCTTTTCAATTTAGATTATCTTCACATTTACAGCACCATTTCAGCTTATCTTCGGTTTATTCACATTATTTTCCTGACACTGGGATTCCAGAAGTGACCACCTGTCATTCTCGAAGCGCCATAACTGTGGATTATATTTTCTATTCTGCTGAGAAGGAAGATGTTGCTGAGAAGCCAGGTGAAGATGCATGTAATCTTAAGTTCTGCTAGAGAACACAGTAACTAAAACCTCAAGGCTGAAGTTGCAAAAAGTAGCTAAACATCTAGATGAAGTTCAAGATTTAGAAGTTTAAAAATATCTTTAAATTGGTGATACGTTTGACAGATTGGTAATAAATTGGAAGAAATCAGTTAATTACCTGCAAAAGAGGGAGGCAGTGAAACACCTTCAAGCAAATTATTGTATCCTCAACTGTACCCTCCAGTTCCAGTCAGCTGCTGAGTTATAAATCTTTCATATTGCCCTTTGGTTGTACTTGCCATAAATTTACTGTTTTTCTTATGACAGCAACTGGATATATTGTGCTAATGGTCATCATATGGTTTGAGCTTAAATTTTACAAAGGTGTGCTGCCTTCATCGTAGGAACATGCTTACACTGCCATCATAGACCATTTGCCAGGCTGACCCTGGAAGACAGTCACGTGTCACTTAACAACAGGCATATGTTCTGAGAAATGTGTCATTAGGCAATTTCGTCATTGTGCAAACATCACAGAGTTCACTTACACAAACCTGGATGGTATAGCCTACTATATACCTAGGCTGTATGGTGTTGATCTTATGGGACCACCGTCGTATGTGTGGTCCCTTGTTGCCTGAAACATCATTATGGCGCATGACTGTATTGGATCTTTCTGAGAAAGTGAAGTCTGTAATATGACTGTGTTTTGAAAAAGCAGAGATCATAAAACATTTTCCAATTCAATGAAAATCAGATTTTAAACCAAAGGATTCAAAGTGAGGAAGAAAATGCAGTATAAGATAACTGAAAGTAGAATACCATTCAGAAAAATGTGGGCAGCTGTTTGATCTTTTCTGATTTCCCCATTTTTTCTCTTCCATTTTTTTGTGCTATTTTTATTTTTCCCTTTTTCCATTGTTTGTTTCCTACTGAGGATAACCTTATTAGTAATACTCAGGAGATGGCTTTCTCCTCCCCACTAGATCAATTCCACAAAACATGCTTGCTGCTTTGACTTTGTAATGAAGTTCTGGTAGTTGTCATGCCATAAACATTCACTAGGTGGCAAGAGTGTGTCATGGACCAGAATCTCAAATCTTAACATTAAGAGAGTGTCATCTTTTACTCTACTTCTGTGGGTACTGAGTCTCTGGGACAAAATCATACTAATTTATTCTCTAGTCACCTTATAAATTTCCTAATCAGCTGTGGCTGGGTCTGTCTGGTTATATGCAACTACAAAATGGTTGATGGATGAATTTCTTATGTCATTGTCAATATCAAATTACTCTTAGCACTGTTGTTTATTACATTGATTTTTTTTCTAAAGATTATCTGCATAACTTGAAATAAATATAAAAAATATCTGAAATATAAAAAAATCTGAAACTGCTGTTTGAGAATTATAATTAAGTTATAACTGAATAAAACGAATTGAATCACATTCTAAAAACTGACTTCCAGAGGGGTTTCAAGTTCTATATCATCGTTTAGAAAAGAATACTTGTATGATTAATTTACAATAGGCTGTTGACACGGTTTCACTAAATCTATATGTGCTTCTTTAATGTAGGAGCTGAAGTTGCTTTGGTTGGTGGCTTGAAACTTCTAGCTAGACTGTCACTTCTTACAGAACAAGACTTATGGACCGTGAATGGACTTCCAAATGAAAATAACTCTTCAGATCATCTGCCCTTATTGGCTAAGTTCAGACTTGAGCTCTGACTCTTCTTTCATTACATATATACTTTTCTTTCCAATTTATATTCTTTTTCAAAGAATGCAAGGTTCTTAAGAGTTTGCATGTTGTTTATTTTTGCGCTGTGGAGTTTCTGAAGAAGTTATGTTAAATGCTTGAAGTAGATATGGGAAGAAACAAGTTTACAACCATTTTCTTTTTTAATAATGAAAAAATATTTTCCTGACAAGTGAGATCTAAATGCTCTTTATTGTAAAAGAGTTGTAAATATTTTTTATTCTAAATCCCAGTAAAATTGACAGTGACTTGTAAATATAGTGCATCTTCTTTAGTTCTTTTAGTAAAGAATTTCTGTTCATGTTTTTGGCAAGCTTTACAGTGAATCCAAAGTACCTTTGAGTTCTTGCAAACTACAACTTGTTTCCCTCCAGAAGGTCTGATTTCACTGGGAGAACCATATGCTTGTTGCGTCCTAGTTAATGCATCTCAGAAATCATTGAGTCATTCACAACCAGCCATTTTGGTTTGTTTTTGAGGGGGCTTGATAATGCTTTTTAAAATTGTACAAATTGCTTAATCCACCTTGTTACTATCCTGAGCCATGTAAAATGCCTGCATTTTTTTGGGAAACAGGTCACCATAACTAGTAGGATGAGGCGCTCTACACAAGCCCGCTCTCTCCATCCCGCAACGACAGACCCTCACAGGATGCCTGAGAGGGAGACACTGGGCTGTGCCTCTGTTTCCCGAGCGGTTTTTCCTTTTTTCTATTCCATTTCAAGAAAAGGCCCCTGGTTTGGGAGAGAGAGTTGCTTTTACTGAACCAATTCTGTAGAAATTTATTTTGTTAGAAAACTTGTCTTTGGAACAAAGTGGCAGCTATAAGATTATTTTTGTTTTGCCTCAGAAGTTTGAGGAAGCCAGCAAAACTCTAGTGGGGAGATACCAACTTGGAGACCTAACACTCTTAAGTAGTAATTTTAACTGTTTTAGTAGTTTTATTTCTAAAATGTTTTATTTTGTAATGATGCAGCCATGTGAGATGGGGCTGACATTTTTTTATGAAGTGGTTAAGAGCAGGTCTAATAAATCCTGCAGTTGGCTCTGTATGAATGTTTGAATCAAAATTTTTAAAACATGAAGAGTGAAAATTTCCTCTTTTTTAGACTTTGGGAGCAAAGAATTGCGTGCATTTTTACTAAGTAGTAATTTTATATTGAATCGTACTGAATTATAAAAGTTTTTACAATGTGTTTTCTTAATAGAATGCTTCATCTTAAATTAGAAAGCAGTCGTTACTTTATAGTCTTGGACTTTAAAAGTTTTTGTACTAAAGCATTTACTACTTTTATTTTTTAAAAAATAAACCAGGTGAATACCCCAAAAACAGCATGTGGGTTATAAGGATTTGCCTAGTAAAAACTGTAGTAAGTACATTTAAATGTTTAAGTTCTCATTTTTTGGGTTTTAACTCACAGTATTAACTGTTAATACAGTTAGCAGATATAGTCATCATCAAATAATAATGACAGGATAATTATACCCTTTTAGTTTGGGGGAAAAAAATGAAAATCCGTTGATTAATTACTGCTTTGTGTTGTGTGAATTTATTAACAAATAACACTATATGTAGGTCATTTTTGACAAACTAACACCCCTGAAAATCTCTGTGAAAAGCTAATTTTTTTTTTTTTTTTATAAACTAATGATTTATTAGGATGGTTGTGTTTTAAAGATTTTTTTTATTTTTTTCCCTTTTTCTCCCCAAAGCCCCCCTGTACAGCGTTGTATATTCTTCGTTGTGGGTCCTTCTAGTTCTGGCATGTGGGACGCTGCCTCAGCATGGTCTGATGAGCAGTGCCATGTCCACGCCCAGGATTCGAACCAACGAAACACTGGGCCGCCTGCAGCGGAGCGCGCGGACTTAACCACTCGGCCACGTGGCCAGCCCCGAAAAGCTAATTTTTTATATCCTGATTAATATATTGTGATTTTAGGCCCTGTTCATGTGCTTCACTTGACAGAGTTAATCCATAAAATTGCTTTCCACTCTAGCTGATAGAATGAAGTATTATTTTGCGGACTGGAGGCCAAAGGGTCAATGGAACCTTCTCACAGGTTTTTAAAGCTCCACTAAAATTGTCTATTTGTCTTTACTTTTTTGGTCAGAAGAGTTGGTAACTCTGTTGGAGCCTTCTATTTTCCTGCCAAAAGCAATGAAATCTGGTTAATTACTAAAACCAGGTCTTCCAGTCTCAAGTGCTATACTCTCCAAGTTTGAAATGGAAAGGGATATTATGGAATAAATGAAATTTTGGTTTTACTGTATCTTTTGATATCAAGATAATGTGCTTGTTTGAAACCTTGTCCTTTTTTTGGAATTTAGCAACTGTCTGCTTTTAACCCTTTGTTTTCCTCAAAAGCTAAGTCAGAGATCTAGAGCGTTCAAGGGGTTGGGGAAACAGACATCAAGTCCTTTGCACTTTGTACCTGTAAATTACCTAATAAATTATTGTACTAGTACATCTGTGCCTGCAGGTTTGTGCTAGGTGTACTAAGCTGTGTAAGCTGGCCTGTTGCCTCTTCTGAACTATTTCATTACCCTTTTCAGCCTTTATACTTAGGGTGATGCTAAAATATAAGTGAATTAAGATGTTTAATATACAGTCTGAAAATTGTGGAAGAAGACTAGGGTGAGAGAGCAATAAATTAGTTTACTAAGACAAGTATGTAATAAGAGGGCAAGAAAAAATCACACCATCTTACATTTTTAGAAGAAAAACAATCCTTACGTTTCCAGGATGGTTTTATTAAAGTCTCATGCTGTGTATAAACATACAAGTGATGAGAAAAACATTAACTTGAAACATGCACTTATCTGGCATTCTCTAAAATACCATTATACAAGTTTTCATTTACTTAGAAAAATACCCACTAAAACAATCACAGTTTTTCTTAAAGATTTAAAAAAAATGTATCGGCCAGAACAAAGTCCAAGAGAATAAACAAGATTTGAAACTGTATGTCAAAAAAACTGTACAAGGTTGTACATAAAACTATAGCTTACAAAAGCCTTGGGTAGAGTAAGAATACTGAATTAAGATTTCCAAAGTTCTATTTACCAATATCTATTAATAAAATCCTTATGAAATAATTGACTTAGAAAAAGTGAAATGCTCATGATTTCAGAGTGTATAGAAAATACTAAATATCACTTTCTGAAATAAAGTGTACTCAAAACAGCACAATGTGTAGTCTAAAATCAAGATTTCTGTCATTCATTTAAACTTTGCATATATTGCCTTAAAGGCCTTAAGCATAAAATTTCTCTTGGATTAATAACTTTTTTAAAAATTAGATTTCAAATCATTTCATAGTTTTATTTTTTTCTCTTTTGAATTATAGCCAGTTTTTAAATCAATTTTGGGGGTATATCATGTCATGGGTTTTTTTTCTTGCCTTAATATTTTTAATTAAATTACTTCACTAGAATTTAGAAGTTTGGTGCCTTTTCCATCTCTTTTAGAAATTAGCATATTCGATAGGCAATAAAAATAGAATGACAACTAAGAACATTTTAAATTAACTGTCATGTTTCTGTGGCTAACTCTTGCTTTGGGGAAATGAATCTTAAAATCAAGGAGTAAGTGTGGAAGAGATCAGGTTACTAACTGAACCATCAAGCCGGTTGGCAGTTTTAAGGCTTATTCATCAGCATATTAGAAATAGTTTGTATTCCTAATCTTTTCCCCTTTTTTGTGGGAAATGAGAGGCTATGCAATGATTGCCATTCTATATTTTAGATGGGACAGTACTTAAGTAATACTTGGAAAATCATATTTCAAGTTCTTAGAATGGCTGCAAGGTTATAAGTAGTCTACTGTTGGATATAGTAAAGTTTCAGATTGATAAAGAGAAGATATAGATATATATATATATCTATATATGCCTTATATCTCAGAGAGAGAGCGAGCTGAGTCAGTATTGTTTTAGAACAAGAATGAAATGATTCACTGACTACCCCAAACATCTAAACACATGTGCCCGTGAGGTTGCAGATGGCTTTACCTTGTGAAGATAAACAAAGATAACTCATTTTAAACTCTGCTAACTGACAATACTACTCTTAAAGAAAGTGATTCAGTTCAGAATTTTTAACTTACGCTGTAGTTTAGTCTACCGAGATGTTCACTTCTTGGTCCTTTTCATGTAAAGGACATCAGATCTTCTTTTTCAAGAAAACAGTACTTTCCTTTAATAACACTGATTTTTAGGGTAAAGTGAGCTCGTGGCTGAAGGATGAAGTCCTTTTGCTTTCCATGTCACCCTCAGAGGTTTTACTGATAAAGAACCTCAAAGCACAGCACAGATTCTTGATTTTTTTACCCCCTTCCTAAAATCACCTTCAAAGAAAGCCAGAGGGGAAGCACGGAGACTGAAACAGTACTTCTGTTGACTGGCAGACTTCACTTAAATATGCCTTTTGGTCTCATGAGTTGGCATGGTTGCCAAGATAAAACAAATGAAACGGAAGCTGTACTCTTGATGTTGATAACACACAGACTTGGGATGCTATTAGAGTGATTCTGTGTGGGCTGCAGCCAGAAGTTACACCGTAACTACCATATGCAGGCCAGACACTCAGACTGCTTCATGGACTAAATCCCACTGTAAGGTGTAACACTGTACCTGAAGACTTTCCCATTTAAAAAAGGTTCTGCTTCTCTAAATCAATTCATTTTCCAATACCAGTTCGTAAATGTCGTGAAGTGGTACCTAAAAGCAAGGTACTGGAAAATAACCACATCGTGCCACATTTGGTCTTAATATAAGACATCAGAACACATCTCTAACAGTGCATCCTTCAGAATCAAGGCCAGACTCGGGTTAAAAATCAGATGAAACGTGAACAGAAAGGTTATCTGGTTCTCAAGACCTAATGATTCACTCCCGGCCTGTGCCTTTCCGAGTGTGTTTTTGTCAGAGGTAATCGCAGTACAGCTCAATTTGTGTAATAGGGCGGGACCTCTTGTGCTTTTTGCTGGAGTCTGCAAAGTTTAAATGTTAGTGACAGAACATAGACTAGCTTCCGAACGTGCTTTTTGTTTTGTTTTGTTTTGAAGGAATAAAAATTGCTGTCAGTGAGTGCTTTAAGAAAGATTAAGAAAGAAGTAACTGCAAGATCCTGAAAATGGTTTCCCGTATTGCCAGAAGAATTTCAGTGCTTTTTAGTAAAAGACTTGCATATAATACCTTAAATCTCATCACATGTGTGCACCAGGAAAAAATTCCAAACTTTGTGAAGATCCCCATGGGAAATATTGGGGAAACAATACAAATAGAATATAAAAAAACAAAACACCATTAAGTTTGCATATCTGATGTCAAGATGCTGAGGTAATATTAACTGCTTAAAAAAAATCCCACCAATCTTTGCCTCTGTTATTGCTGAAAAAGACATTAATACTGATTGAGTTGCCTTACCATATCAAAAGTAGGAGAGAGGATTTCATGAACATTTACTACTGGTGAGGCATAATGTTCAAAGCAAGTAAAAGAAAGTAGGTAAATGGAAAAATAGAAACTACAGTTACGGTATTCTCCTATCTGGAGGAAGGGAGACAGTCCAACCCCAGTGGGGTTTATTCCTTTAGGCTTTTCATGGTTGCCCCTTCATGAATTTTTTTAAAGTTAATTGTTACCACCACTCAGATCCTATTTCCAAGTGAATCCTTAAAAATAAAATTCACAAGCTCTTAATAAATAGTTGCGGTTCCTTCTGAAGACGCTGGGTAAAGTGCAGAGAGAAGCACCAGAGAAGCCCTCTTGCTGGCTGGTATGGCTTGCCTAAATTCGGATTTGATAGCCCACTTCATTCAGAGTGCTGAGGTCAGCCACTTTCTTTTCAGGCAGTGCCGGCCTAGGGAGAAAGACAGACAGGTGGCGGGGAGAGGGGATGGGAGAGAAGGTCAGTTAGCATTTCCCGGGCGTCCGCTCAGGCTTCCTAACCCTTCTGATGCTTGCTGCCAGCCTTAGCTCCCAACTCTGCCTCTTGTTCCTAAGTCCACCTTTATAGGTTTTAAGGAACATTTTAAAAGGCTTTCCATGTAGTGTTCCAGAAAATTTATGGGCTGCCAAATGAATTTGTTCAACCTCAAGCCTGAATTTGGTCACACTATAACTTCTGAAACCTAGTATCTGTAAAACCAGGAAAGGTCTAAAAGTCACATCTATTACAGTAGAACTAAAAATCTGAGCCAAATTCTCCTTGAAACCTTGGCTTCCTGGCGTTTGTGCCCTGGGGGAAGCCCAGCAACTACCAGACATCACAGGTGACTCAGATCCTCGTGGAGAGATTCTCTGTTATCTTTGAGAGAGGGTTACTATTCCAGGCTTGAATATATGTAACCAGGGCGAATGTTTTAGAATTCATCTGAGAAAGCATGTCAACGTGGAAAATCATCTCTCTTCCCTAAATACATTTTCTGAAGTACTTTCCAATATAAAACTACACCTAAGCATTTATGTAAAGTCAAGTAAGAAAGTACATCAAGCTGGGGAAAAAAATCATTCAGTAGCATGTCATCTGTCTCCATCAAGACATTCCTTGGGGCCGGCCCCGTGGCCGAATGGGTAAGTTGGCGCTCCGCTTCGGCGGCCCAGGGTTTCGCCCGTTGGGATGCTGGTCACGCTGAGGCGGTGTCCCACATAGCACAACTAGAAGGACCCACAACTAAAAATACACAGCTATGTACCAGGGATCTTTGGGAGAAAAAGGAAAAAATAAAATCTTTAAAAAAAACAGGACATTTCCTACGTGATTTCCCAATATAAAACTAGGCCTAAGCATTCTCACGATTTTTCTCACAACTTTTGCATTTCTTAATGAGCCTCTTCTCACCTTTGATAAGAAATAACCAAGACTGTAAACCAAATTTAGGATGTTCGATATGTCTAGTGAGTTCTAATTCAAAAGTTTCACATTTAGCCATTTTTGTAAGATCAAAGACATTTCTAGGTTACACATGAACCTTGTTTTAACTGGTAAAAAAGAGACCGAAATGAAAATATAATTGTTTAAAAGTTTCTTGATTTATACCTTTGAAAGATTTCCTAATAGCAAATGGTTTTCTCCTGTCACAAATGTGGTCCAACTCATTCAATGTTGACAGAACCAGAAATCACAGCTAGCTTCCAATAAGGGTGCTGCTCAACGAAGGACATTAGGTTCAAACTTTGACAACAAATTCTACCACCCTACGTAGTCTTATTCTCTCTCTCTCCGCCCCTACCCCTCCCTTTCTCCTTTTTCTTTCAGAGATGTCCCATCTCTGCATAGTCATCAACAGTCTGTGATCATCCTCTGAAACTCGAAAGTGGTCAAGAAACCTGACTTGCTACCCAGCACTAAAATAACTTGTAACTTTGTCTCTGTGTTACATGGGGCGTATTTCTCAGCTTCACCACATGCCCTGCTTTACTGGTCAGGAATCATGCCTCTTATTTCTTTGCGTCTCTTCTCATGGTGCCCAGGATACACAGGTGATGCTGATAAATATGGCTGACTGGGGGTAGGAATCCCAATACTTCCTTGTGTGTAGCTCCCTGCTCGTTGCATCAAACAGCTCAAGGCTTCTGACCTTCGATGGTGTCCTCCAGCCCATACGTGCCCTGGAGATAAACAAAAGAACCACTGCCTACAGCCTGGCAGAGTGGCCCCCAGGGGCCGCTGGGAGGACCATTCTTAAGTTGACGGCTCGCGGAGCACACTTTTGCTTGAGGATTCAAACCTAAACTTATACTTCTGCCCTAGTCCTCAGCCCACGCATGTGGAGAGAACTAGGGTTCTCACAGACAAGTCAGGTTCCGAGTCCGTGTGTATCTAGTCCATTTTGTCATAAAGCCTGAAATGAAGTCTCTGTTTTGCTTCCTTGCCTGTCATCTTTACAAATACCTAATACGGGACTTTTTGCCTCAAGCAGACTCCCCGTAAGTTAGCATCGGCCTAAGGGAAATGTGGTTAGGAAAGACAAATCTGCTTCTCCCCTCCTCAGTGTGCCCCACTTTTAGAAAATTCAGTAATCAAAATTCACTTGCCAAAGGATAAGCTTGAAGTACCCATAGGCATTCCTCACTTTAGAAAAGGATCAAATGGGGGGTCGTTTCCTAGAGCAATGAAAGTATGACCTCCACACTACCGTTCCTGGCGGTCTAACTGTGTAAGCATATAGTCCTCATCCAAATATGAACTACATTTGTATTGGATGATTTTTTTAGCTGATCTTTTTAATGATCTGTGTGTGGCCCAGTCTGTTAGTGGCCCCTCAACATCCACTCTCCCCTTCTTCCTTAAAAGATTTTTACTGGGCACAGAGCTGCCTAGATTACAAACTACATTTCCCAGCCTCCCTGAAGCCGGGCAGGCACTGGACTCAGGTGTAGCCAAGGAGAGTGAAGTGGAAGGGTGCTGTTGGCAGTCAGTTACCAAGACACCTCTTCCAAAGACACCAGGCATGTGCCTTTCATCCTTTTCTTTCCATTTCCTTCTTTCTTGTGGAAGCGATGGCTGGAGCTTGGCCCTCGAGGTGGCACACTAGAGAGGCACAGCGCTAAGAAGCTCCCTACCACCTCCGTTGAGCTGCTCTCACATTATGGTGGATGGTGGTTAAGCCACGCTCAGACCCGATCTTAACGGGTACCACTTCCCTCCATTAACTCACTAAGCGCTGATTCAGACATGATGCTAGTGACAGTGGTGGGCATGGAGTCGGCCTGCGGAAGGTTAGTATGTGGAAGAACATGTTCCTAGCAAGTTCTCTGTAATTCCACTCAGGAAAAGCAGCCACACCCTAAATGAAGTCCGGAGACTCATTTCTAAGCATCAGTCTTCTTCCCTGGAGCCCTGCACACTATGTAGGACCTAAGCCATGGTGGCCCTTTAGATCCCCGTTGTCTCTGAAAATCAGGCAGTTCCCTGAGCTTAACAAGAAAATCCCTGTTCCAGGGTCCGTGCAGCACCTACCAATTAGCTCACCCGATTTCGGACCCTCGCACATGATTTCTTCCTGGCCTGGCATCTTCCTCAACACCAAGTCACACCTCTCCTCCTCCTGAAACTCTCAATGTCCTGCCCTTCATATATGAAACAATGCTAATGAGACACGAGCTTAATATTGTTTCTCAGGTGTTGGAATAAATCTGCACTGACCTATTTTTCTCTCCCTCGGTCCTGTGACCAACAGCACCTGCTGGAAAGTCGGTGGCAGGACAGGCTACAGGGCAGATCTGGGAAAGAACAAACCCTGCCCCTCAGCCCTGTAATGTGGGCTTCCCTGGGGTCACAGCAGCCACCAGCCACAGGCCAGGCCACAGGCATGCTGCATCCTCAGAAGCCGTTTTTTGGCCACTCATCTGACTTCCTCACTTTGGAGCCCCTCACCCCTGAGGAACAGAATTTTCATCACATTTTTTTAAGTCAGTGTGTTCTTAAGACTTCACCCTGTACCTTTAACCACGCTCTGTTATTGGCACCCTTGAAAATAGGTGCACTCGCATTGGGGGTCTTTGGCCTCCTTTTTCTAAACCTTTCCTTGGCACCTCCATCAGTTCCCCTGCGCCTTCCAGGTGCTGAGAAATCACCATCAGACATCGCTTTTATTGATCACGCACTTACTGTGCACCAGGCATTGTTCTGAGAGGTTTACATGGATTAATTCATTCTCACCATAACCTAATGGGGGCGATACTGTGGCGGCCCATTTTACAGAGGAAGAAATGGAGGCACTGAAAGGGGACTTGCTCAAAGCAGAGTCACATGGTAGGCAAGTGGCAGAGCCAGGGTTTTCCCCCAGCATCCAGAGCCCATGCCCTTGATCGTGACACAAACTGCCCCCCATCCTCCCACTCCCCACGCAAAGCATCTGAGGGTGACACCACAGCCACCCCTACCTCTGCTGCTTGGCTTGTGGAATGCCCTCCCCCATGCCTTCCTGTCATCCTTTCAAGGTCCAACCCAAACGCCACTTCTCCCATGAAGTACTTTCTGACTTCCTTCCCTCACAATGCACTGCTCCTTGCTCTGTATCTTATGTCACTTCCTTTTGTACATCTGTCAAAGAATCCTGCGGGCTCATAATCTTTGTGCCTGCCTCGGAGACTGAACAACTTGAGAGCAGGGATCAAGTAAATTCATCTGTGAATCTCCACTTTGAATATCCTGTACTTCTCCATAAACTTTGGTCAAGTTCTCACTAACGTGTAAATGGCTGATAGGGCTTCATTATGTTACCTTTATCGTGGGATATTTTTGTTTTAACAAAGACAAAGTCTGAAGCCAGGAATTCAAGTCACCATGACAACATTCTAAGAATTAACGAGTAGAAAGAATTTTTTTTTCTATGTAGGAGAACCTTTACCTTATTTCTGGATGCCACTTGAGGAAACTTCTTACTTGTAAAGCTGAATGTGGTTCTGTAATAACAGATAGCTTGAGGGCTCCCAAAGGAAAAGGCCTAGGTTGTCTCCTTCCTGTGTATCCCCACCTCTCCCACCCACCCTTAGGTACCCAGAACCCAGAGGAGAAAAAAAAACTATTATTGGCAGAAAGTAAGTTCAACTGAGATTCCCAGTGAACTGCCTGGAAGATGAAACCCTTTTCTTTTACAGCAGCACTGGCTGCAATTTCCTGGCCTGGCGAAGGGCAGAAGTGGGTTATCACAGCATGCCACCTGCCTGTGGGGCCCAGCCAGAAATACTGTTCCGTGCTTGCCAGCTCATATCAGGGCCAGAGCTGGGTGAGCTCTCGTGTGTGGAGGGCCTCTTCCGAGGGCTCCCCCAGCTATAATTAGGATGTGGCAAGGGGATTTATTTTTAACAAACACAGGCACCAGGATGATGATTCAGCCGGGTCTGCACTTGCCC